GAGCCCGGCCGATCCCAGAGGACTGGCGCTTAGGACGGGTGTCACTCCTCATGAAGAGCACCTCGAAAAAAGGGATGCTCAAAACGTATCGGCCACTCACAATATCACCGATATTGTACAGGCTATTCGCGCGAATACTATGCCGAGAAATCCAGGATTGGATGGAACAAATCGGAAGTAATCGGTGAAATGCAATATGGCTTCAGAAAAGACAGTAAGAGGAGAAGATTGCATTTTTATCTTGACTTCTGCCATCGAAATTGCTAGGCAGGAGAAGGCAGGCCTGAATAACCTGCTTCTTGGACTGCACCCGTGCCTACGATCGAAATTGACAGGGGCACGACTCTGGGAGGTTCTGGAGAAGAAAGGCATGCCAGAACCTATCATAGAACTACTCAAACTTCTATACACCGATAACAGAGTAGCACTCCATTATAATGGCCACAAATCCAAAACCATACGAACGGAGATTGGACTCCGACAGGGTTGCCCGTTGAGTCCCATCCTATTCATCCTGTACATATCAGAGCTCGAATCGAAGCTACAGCAAACAGGAATCGGATTTAAGGTCAGATTGCCAGGAAAATTGTTCGACACTGAGCGAGAAAGACATCTCTCGATAAGTGGACTATAATTCGCTGACGACTTGGTACTCATCTCACAGACCCGAAAAGGCATGGTCACATTACTAGAGGTAGTATCGAGTTTTGGGGACCAGATGAGTCTCCAATTCAATCCTAGCAAGAGTGCCATTATAGAATATGCGCCATGTAGAGACTCAGAAAAGGAATTCGAAGTCCAAAGCCGGGCGCTACCTACTCTCAACTCCTACAAGTACTTAGGCATCACTCTCTGTGATGGGAAAAACTACCTGGAGGAGCAAGAGAAGGTCTGGGAATCGAAAGCAGAAAAAGTTCTGCGACAGATGCACGCCAAATCACTCTGGAGATTAACAGATTTGAGGTGACTAAGATCCAGTGGAAGAGCACGGCGGTACCTGGATTGACATATGCCAACTCGGTAACCACCATGTCCGCGAAACTGCGGCGGAGACTCGAAACCCTACAACGGGAGGCTGGAAGATGGGCCCTGGGGGAACCCAATGCGAACACCGCCATAGAATTTATAGACGGAGAGCTGGGATGGTCCACGTTCGAAGCCAGAGAAGCAAAGAGTAAGCTAATATATCAGGCTAGAATCAATGAGATGAGCGAGACGAGGTGGCCAAAGGCAATCCAGACAATGATGAAGATTGCGAGTATACCCACCAAACTTCAAAAGAGAAGTCTCGAGTTGAAGAAGAAATTCGGATGTCAGAGCATCCGGGAAATACCAAGGTCAACTCTAAGAGTGAGTCTCGGTGTATACAAAAAATACGTTAACGAAACCATCAAAAACAAACTTGACCAAGATTGGGTCGAAGGGATGTCCGAGAAGAGAACCCTTGAACGGTACAGGACTTATAAAACGGTGCGAGGAAATATCGAGCACATCTATGACAATACGAGAGGCAGTCGCCTTCTCGCGAATGCTAGAGCGGGATGTTTACAGACTAGAAAATTTAGGTCTCGTTTCAAAAACATCGGAGCGACCTGCCTGAGGTGCGGGAGAGAAGAGGAGACCCAGGAGCATGTGATCCTCGAATGCGAAGACCCCCCGGATGCTGAGTGTATAATACGGAAAAGACTGGGCCTACACGAAGAAAGCACCCCGAAGATGATTTCCGACACAAAAGTAATGTTGGAAGAGTGGGAAAAGAGGAATATCGACAATCCCGACGGACAAATCGCGAAGCCGCATCCGCCAACGACCAGCTGAGCCATCGCCCCTATATATTAGGGTCTCTCTCTATGTTCGAGATTTGAACATAGCTAGGGAAGGTCAATAAACAATCAAATCAAATCAAATATATGCAGTTCCATTCGATTCGGCTCAGAGCCCAGCGTGTAGTGTCTATCCAAAGCGATCCCCTCTATTTTGTGAAGATTGGATAGGAAATTATTGTAAGCCTCCAGACAAGTCCCGGTCAACGGTGAATCCCAATCCAATTTTGTTTTCCACAATTGTTGTAACAAAACTTTTGCGGCTATGATGCTTGGGCTCAAAATGCGGAGAGGATCAAATATTTGAGGTATTCCTCTTAGAAGTCTTCGTTTAGATGGGACTCCCGAACTGAGTTCCGATAAAGCCCCTTTAACGGAAACGTGAATTTTATCCGTTTCTTGATTCCAGCATATGCCCAAAAATTTGGCATCTGCTTTTCCCGCTTTCACTTCCGGGGCCTCCACAGGCGAAATTTTTTGAATGAAGTCGCCCAGAGACTCACAGTTCGTTTGCCACTTTTTTAGAGGGAAATGCCCATCTTGGAACACCTCGAAGAGTACCCGAATTTTCGATTGAGCGTCCTGGAAAGAGTCCGAACCGAATACACAATCATCCATATAGAAGGTCTCAAGAATTTCTCGGATGAACTCTTTGTCCTTTGGACGACTTCTCGCAGCTTGCTCCAAGTGGTGTCTGATACCCTGGCAGTGAATAAAAGGAGAGCATACGAGACCGAAGTCCAATCTAGTAGCCCAAAATTCTACGATTTTTGCTTGAGGGTTTGTGCTAATTCCGAGCGGCCAGAAAAACCGGAGGAACGTGCGATGGGCCTCGGCCACCTTAAATTGTAGAAAGGCCTTTTCTATATCCGCCGTTAAAGTGTATTTGTATCGACGGAATTTGATGTACACTTTGAGGAGATTTGGCAAAAGAAAGGGACCGACGTGTAGTATGTCGTTCAGGCCCGCTTCATTGACTTTCCGCGCGCTGGCGTCTTTAACGAGTCTGGTTTTCAGGCCCAATGGAGCCGCCGGGCTAGTTTTGAACACTGCTTGTATGGGCAAATAATGCGCCATCTGATCCGGCTTTCTAGGTGAAGCTCGTTCAATGAAATCGTGGGCTAAATAATTCGCTACTTCATCGTCCACCGCCTTGAGCTCAGTGGGCTTTTTGGATAGCTTTTTCAAGAAGCTCGACACGATGTAGCGTCCGTCAGGATCCCGTTTGATGGTCTCCTTGAAGTGCTCAATGAGAGCCTCGTTCAAGGTATCTTTCTCTTCTTCTTGAGTTTTATCATCCAGTCCTAGACTTTCGGATTTCCAGAGCATTTGCAAATCCATGACCGTTATGTGCTGTTCGTCGGAGATCGCCCGAGGCTTGACCCCAGTCAAAACAATATTCGGCGAGCTTTCCGCAGGTCGCGACAGTATTGTTGCTGGTTGAAGTTGGTCTACTTTGCCATACAAGACCGAGCTCAATAGCGAGGTACCCTTTGATTCAGGGCCACAGAATACCCAACCGAAAATGGTGTTGGTCGCGAGTATGTCACCGAAGGAACGCTGCGAATCAAGGTCGATTTGCGCCAAATGGTCAGCACCGATAAGCATTTCAATAGAACGAGGAAGATTTCCCTCGATATGATCCGCGATTGGGTTCAAGTTCCATGTTTCCGATATAATTGGCAGATCTGACGCCGTCACAGTCTCTGATTCCAGACCACAAATTTCGACAGCTTTATTGTTATCAAACCTGCTCCGAAGCATCAGTCCGTGGATGTTGTAAGGTCGTAAGTCCGAGATTTGTCCGCCGAGGGTTGCTATAGACATATTGACCGAATCCGGTGGGACTGACTCCAGTTCGTCCAAAAGTGAGGAAGAGATATATGAATTCTGAGATCCAGGATCTAGTAGAACTCGGCAGAGTTTTCGACGGTTTGCCAACTCCGCCCATACGAAAGCCGTCCTCAAGAGAATCGTGTCATTAACGATAGATGAAGCCACGTTTGCTGACGACTGCGTCGATTGTACGGCGTTTAGATCCGCCTGTGCCTTCTTACAAATCACAGCGTAATGGTTTTTCCCACAGAGTCTGCACTTGTGTCTCGGACCATTTCGACAGTTTCGCGCCTCGTGATTTAGTTTCAAACACTTATAGCAAGCTTTCGCCTTGTTTAATTTGTCCATTCGTTCCTCGTAGGTTAACGGAGTTGGGCATTTGAAAGAAGGATGGCTTTCTTCGCAAAAAACACAGACCGTATTGCGATTTGTTGATGGTGAGGTGTGTTTTGTAGACAAGAAAGCGAAAGAAGACTGTTTGTGGCTTATAGCGCCTTGTTCGTTGGAGTTTGACTTCCATGATGGTTTGTTTCCCCACCTATTCGGGCGACCTTGTTCTCGACTCGGCTTGGAGCCGTTGTTTTCCGCTGTTCCAGAAAGAGTCCTCATTTTCACTTCTGTTTCTAGGAAGGACAAAAGTGCTTCCAGAGGTGTCGTGTTGGAGTTGTTTTTACTTAGTGTTTCTCGTAATGTTTTGTGTACCTGAATCGAATCTCTTCCGGAATGCATCTTATGATCTTGGGCTCTGCCATCGTTGTCAAGTTCTCATACGACTTACCTAGCGATAACAGAGCAAGGACGTGCTGGGAAATGTTGTTCACGAATTGTGCGAATTTTTTCATCTTGATGCTGCCTGGTAACGTCAGGCGATCGAGTTCGTCCAGGTGGCTTTTTACCGCTAGACGCGGTTCGCCGAACTCTTCCTGGAGCCGGTTCTTGGCTGTCTCGTAATTTTCCACCGTCATATTCAAATGACGAATCTTGTCCAGCGCATTTCCCGAGAGGGAATTCCTTAGAATCCAGAACTTTTCGAGGGGCGAGTCATCCTTTGAATCAACGAATGTGGTGAACAGATCTGCGAATTCTTTGTAGCATTTGGGGTCGCCACTGAATCTCGGCAGCCTGACGGATTTTGCGAAGCTGGGATGCATTTTGTTGTTGGCATGATGAGCGTTCGAGTTCGAGTCTGGTGTCAAACTCAAGGTCTGGTTGCTGACCTTCTCGCCCAGAGAATGTAGAATCGGTACCTCCAACTTCGGACTGGCATCACGTTCTGCGGCTTCTCCCGTCTCGGGGCCCGGACTTGCCTGTTCAGGAACAGGTACTGAGTAGATGGGAGCATCCTGCGAGTTCAGGGGATGTTCTCCTTGGCCTTCCGAACCGAGAATGTTAGGATCCGTTCCGAACGTTTCGATAGCCGGTGATGCCATCGCGATAGCCGGAGCAGCTTGCGAGGGGTCTTCAAAGAGCTGCGATACGCTACCAGGATTTATCACTGCCCAATCATGCATCACCGACGGTGTCGCCGTATGTTGGTGATACAAACTTGTGGACCGTAAACGGTCGAAATCGACAGGAGTCGCGGGAGTCTGTTCTTCCGGTGCCAACACTTCCTCTTGCGCGACCGCTTGATCTTCTATTTCCACAGTTTGGACGAAGGCATAAAGCTCCTGCAAGAAAACGAGAGTTGTATCCATTATTTCTTCATCGTTCACCTCTTCTTCCACTGATACTTCTTTCATCAGTTTAGATGCGACCACCGCTCGCCGGTTTGTGATGTTAGTGAGACGGGATTTCAACGGCTCAAGCGCAGCCATGAAGGCTAGGACCTTCGAGCTCAACTCTTTCTTCTGCGCTGCCGTATCATATATCCGATCGATTTTGTCCCGATAAACGCGAAGCTTCGAGGTCAGATGTCGGTACTCGAAATTTAAGTCCGCGAATTCTTCTTCCAGAGGATACATCTTTATTTCGGCGTCAGCCGATATTTCGACCTTCTTTCGACACGGCATTCCTTGTATGTCGGAAAAGGATTTCGACTTTTTGGACTCTTCGTCGTCCGAGGGAGAGCGTTCTCGGTAAGCCATGGCACCTTACCGAGGGGATCAGCGTGTTCTCGAAGACACAGGCCTGATGCGTACTAAGGACGGTCCAGTGCTTCGGGCGTCGAGCGTTGAGTTAGTTCGATAGAATCACTTCTGACACCAAATACTGTCACACACCCCTGGATATTGAGAGAAAACACTGGCCAATGTTTCCGACACGTCGTCAGGGGAAGACCGTGAAATCCGGGAGCGACCCGGTGAGTCCGGACTGCGTGGCGGTACGAGCCTAACTGACTTGGAAACCACCGTTGGCCCTAGCCAACGGCGTGGTTCTTTTTGGTTGCGAGGCGAAGGAAGTTACTCACTCGACTTCGGGCCACCCTGGAAGCTTCCCCCGACGACTATTTATTGCAGAATACCAAATACAGATCATATAGTTTTCCCCTCCCGATGGAGCAGTCGCTGAAAACCGACAACGACGGCAAGAGCTATCGCGGGATCGGACTTCGGTCCGCGACACATCCCATAACCACAACAAGCCGACCGACTACGGTGGCTCCGGAACCTGAGCCAAGCAGAAAGAGCAACAGGATATTTCTGGGTCTGTTCATTCTGTTTCTGATCACTACGATCATGTGTTCAACATTGAATATGTTTCTACCCTCCAGACTTAGACCCACTAGAAGTAACTATGAGCGAATTCCGAATCCAGAGAGCCCTTACCAAGAAACAGTTGAGCACCTCCCGAGTGAATAGAAAATACATCTATCTATCTATATATATAAAAACGTATGTCTGTTTGTCTGTCTGTTTGTCTGTTTGTCTGTATGTCCGGGGTACCCTATAGACTCGAAAACGGCTGAACCGATCGTCGTGAAAATTTAGGAGCGTGTTCTGGGGGATCCAGCGGTGGTTATAGGGGGGTCGGTTCTCCGATGCGATGAGTCCTTCTACCTTAAAAAAATTATTTGAGTGCTCCACCCACGAAAATTCGAAAACTCGGAAAAAAATTGAAAAATCCGAAATTCGCAAAATTCACAAACGCCTGAACCGATCGCCGCAAAAACTCAGGGGTGGGCTCTCGGGAGCTTCAGGAAGGTCATCTGAGGGTCGTCGTTCTCATGTTATGGGTCCTCCCCCCATAAAAAAATGATTTGAGTGGTCCTCTCACCGAGAATCAAAGATTTCATCAAGGGAAGGACGGGAACTCGATTTTTCGGAGGACATATCTAATAAAAGCGGGGGCACGGGGAGGCGGGGAACGGGGAAGTGGGGAACAGGGAAAGCGGGGAACCGGGAAAGCGGGGAACCGGGAAAGCGGGGAACCGGGAAAGTGGGGAACCGGGAAAGCGGGGAACCGGGAAAGC